TAAGCCTTGAAATGTCAGCTGTCAAAATATATAATGACAATACAATTTAGAATGAAATTGGAGGGTAAAATACAACTAATCCCTCTGGTGGTAAAAAAAAATTACTTTCCAAACAACCCAATATGTATCCATTATTGTAAATTGGGGTTATATGTTTGGAATGCAAAAAAAAGTAATATAGCAAATGAATGATGTAACAAGGAGCTATTGTAATAAAAACTTTGTAGTCCAGCAATGTTTGTAAAACGATTGTTGGCCTTTTTTTGCTGTTAGTTTTATAATTACAATAAAACTCACTAAGTTAAACACTGGAAGTGGAACCAGTTGGTGTCCAACTTAGAGGAATTTGATATATGAGTTTTTGTGCACAGTACATACCATAATTGAAAACTACAATTCAAGTTCTTTTTATATTTTAATGTTTCTAGGCTCAATATTACAATTATTGCAACATGTTAGCTTTGTTTTTGCAAATAATACAGTTAGTATAGTACAGTTCAATTATATGAAAAGACTTTTGATAAAAATTGTGATGCCTCCAGACATGGTGAAGTATGCATGTGTAATGCCCGTGTTATATAATACTTCACAATTTAATAATAACGTACAACTACACACTGGAGTTTACTAAATATTACGTACCTCCGAAACCTTTAACCAATGTGAATAAATTTAACATTACTAACGTTTTCAGACCCCTTCTGGGTCCTTCTTCAGGTGGATACATAGTAGATACATAGGATACATAGTAGATAGTAGAAAAATACATAGTAGATACATGCTGTTAGTCATAGAAGGGATACAATAATATAATAGCAGAGAAAAGGGAAAGTAAAATAAAATAAATGAAAATAAGAATAAAAATTAAATAATAAAAGAATAAAAATACACTATAACTAAAGTAACATTGTTGTACATCAAAGTCTACATGCTGTTATAGCAGAGCAAGGCGTGTATATACATTGGCATCAAGGCTAGAGTGAATCAGATCACAAGAAAGTAGGTCGATGGATCCGACATCTAATAGAGTAGAGTGAAACAAACTGTTAGATCAGTTAAGCAGTCATCCACATAGACTTCCAAAATATTGTCAAATGTTGCTACTGCTTCTATGTCAACGACCAAACTGTCAGCCAAAGATTTAGGAAGAGCATTCACTGCTTACTTCAGTTCTTTTTATGTCTTCTGTCTTTTTGTTCTCTTATTAGCTCTGGAAAATCAGAGCATGCTTAATGAAAGCTTTTTTGAATTAAAACAATTCAAAAATGTTCTGTTAAAGGTAACATTTTGCAATCCATTAAAATTTTAATATGATTCAACATTGGTTCATAACCAGTGGCATGCCATGACAATTGACGATAGGGAAGCTGTGTTTCTGTAAGAAGCTGACTTCCAGGGGCAATCAGTTAATTGCACATCAGGGTTCATTCGTATTCGTTTGTTCAATAAGCCAGTAAAAAGCGTAGACTTCTTTAACCAGTCAGTTGCGCTGTACTACCATTGGAGTAACCAGTTTTAGTTAAACTGTTGCGCAGCAGTACTCCAGTTGGAGTAAGTGTCAATTTTTTTCATAATTAACTAGTTGGTGGTGATTAAGCACTGATTGGCATTTATCTACATAGACTAAGTCTGTTTCAATGAATAAGATATTTGTTACCATCCCGTATTTTTAAATTTTCCCACAAAACCCCTCCTTTCCATGTTAAGTCTATGGGAAATGTTTCTTTTGTTCATTGGACAATAAAATTTTTGTTTACAAGCCTGTTGAACTCCAATTGGTATATTATTGCTAAATGACTATGGTTTAACGAATAAGCATCGACTTGGGTTTGTAGGGTGGGAACTTTCTTGAAAAAAGTTATTTTTGTCCGAGCTACATTGTCAGTTATAAACATAAACAATCAATCATAAATCAATATTGTCATTTTATTTTTAGCTTGAATTTAATAAAATCATACATATATTTATCCTATTTAACAAATATTAGTGTTTTTAGGATCATTCAGTTGTAAATTTTTTTAAAAAATGAAGTACTTCCGGTTAAGACCATGCCCCTAGCAGAAACAGTTGTTGTCCTAAATATAGAAAACAGATATACCCCCCAAACAATGTGCGTTAAATATTATAAGTCGCATTATCACTTTAAATAAAGTTAGAATGCTACAGTTTTTTTATTTCACAGAATATAGACATATCTAAGTAAGATATATAATAAATTAATAAAATATTTATAAAAAACATTTCTTCCATTTCCCACAGTTATTAACTCCTCATTTCCTCTTTGAAGGATTTTAACTTCAATATTGTGGTTCATAACATGACAAAAGTCAAAATGTGGTTTTTCATTGTAAATATTTTCACAAATTGAAACTAAAGTTTTCACAAACAAACTATAAGTATGAGCAATTCTTTATTGTGACAGAGTCATAATGCTGGGCTGCAATTTTTAATCATATTTTTAAATCATTTAATTTAAAATATACGCTCTCCTTCTCAAATTAGTAGTGACTTGCCCCTGTACATTATACTTTTTCTTTAACAGTAGAGTCGTGCCAATCATCAATTAACTGCTTTTGAGGCATTTTTAATTGAAAAAATGTGACTTCCAATTTGCATCGAAAGTTCCTATATAGTTAATTGGGGCCTCCTGTCCCTAAGGTTTTCACATCTGGTCTCGGATTTCAAACTCTCTGTTCTCGAGATTAAGACAGACGGACAGTCAGTCAGTCAGTCAAAATAATCTTTATTGTCTGGCACCGGTGAGCACAGCCAGGCAGAAATACAGAAAAATACATAGTAGATACATGCTGTTAGTCATAGAAGGGATACAATAATATAATAGCAGAGAAAAGGGAAAGTAAAATAAAATAAATGAAAATAAGAATAAAAATTAAATAATAAAAGAATAAAAATACACTATAACTAAAGTAACATTGTTGTACATCAAAGTCTACATGCTGTTATAGCAGAGCAAGGCGTGTATATACATTGGCATCAAGGCTAGAGTGAATCAGATCACAAGAAAGTAGGTCGATGGATCCGACATCTAATAGAGTAGAGTGAAACAAATTCCTTTAACGAGTTAAAGTTGCTATTGTTTTGTAAGAAAAAAAATCAGGCTTTACTGGCCAGTCTATATTGTTCATATTGGCATGCTGCATGCACTGATACATGATGTCATCCAGCATAGGACAGTTGTATAAATAGTGCATGAAACCGTCCTGCACTCCACACAGCTGACAGTAGTCAGAATTAGAATGGTGAAACCTTTTCAGATAAACATGAAAGCACCCATGTTCTGTCAAAAATTGGGCTAAATCATGTGTGGGTTGAATCCATTTGCTATGAATGCATTCCTTGACCTTTGGGATAAAACGTCTTGTTATGTGTTGTTGTGGGATCTCGTCCCAATCCAGTTGCCAGGTTTCCAAAGCATTGTCCTAGATAAGGTATTTAAGTCTTGACTTAGGAATGAGATTGTACGCAGGAGGAGTATCAGGATTAGACATTATGTTTCATGCCAGAAAGTCAGTAAATTCATTACCTGGAATGCCACTGTGTCCTTTGATCCAATTGAAGGCATACTTGTTAAAAGACATAGAAGCTGCAGCGAAGATGTCGTTTGCAACAGGATGATTATTATATTTATTCCCCAAAGCAGCAACAGTCGCAGCACTGTCTGTGAAGATATTTATCAGTTTGTTCACAACATTAGAGTTGTATCAGTTGATTGCCATCAATACAGCGAAGATCTCAGCTTGGAAGACAGAGCATTCTGGGTGTAGAGCAAAGGAATCATTGTAAACCTCTTCACTGGCTGAAAGATCACAAAGGCACTTGCCATGCCTTCAGTTGACTTGGATCCATCTGTAAAAGCTTCAATCTCTGTAGAGGTAACACGAGGAGAGAGTCCCTTCCTTAAGACAGGATGGGGGAGTGTAGATACAGGCCTATCTAATTCAAACATGGTGGCATTAAAGATGGTTACATTAATATCAACATCACTGCCCCTAGAGATACAGAAACATTTGCTATTAAATTGGAGAAATTGGAGGATGAGGAGCTTCCCAGCCACCACAGGGAGGGCTGCATTTGAAACAGTGGAATAGCACCTGGTAAGTCGTAATAAGGCAATCTGTTGTGCAGACCTCAGACGCCAATAATTATGAGATTGAGAGGCAGCAGCACTCCAAACAGCAGATGCATATGAGATAGTTGGTAAAAACAGGCAATCATATATGGCATTAGCTGCCTCAAAACGAGGCCCCACTTGCATCTGGAAACCTTAAAAGACCATTAAAGTCAAGTTACTTCGACCAGTAATGTGTTTTATATGCTGTTTCCAGGAGAGTTGATGATCAATCACAACCCCAAGGAAAGTGAGATGACTTACAACTTTTATTGACTCATTACGAAACCTGATACAAGGCACATGTCTGTAAAGGTCAGGGGTGCTCAGAGAAAAGAAAATGATTCCCTTAGTCTCTGTCATGTTAAAACAGTTTATTTCTCACACCCCAGTTATACACTTTTTTAAAAATGTCAGTGTCTGCCCTTTCTATGTAGTTTCTTGATGGGGCAGGGAAAACCACAAAGGCATTGTCTGCATATGCATAGACATGACATTGGTAGCTGAAGTCGTTACGGAAGAAGTTATCGAATAAAAATCCCAGAACAGGAGCTCACAAACAGACCCCGTGGACAGCCGCGTTGTAGCTTACATGTAAATTGAAAATGCCCCAGAGAGATAATTGCTTCTCTATCCTCAAAATAATTAGCAGCAAGATGGAATAAGTTAGACAGACAGACATTCATTCATTCATTAGTTTAATTGTACATTTAAAACAAGGTAAAAAGTCCTGCCCCGCAGTGAGCATTACAAGAGCATATCCGTTACATAGTTCCACTGAGTTACACTAATGAACTAAGCAATAGTGAATGAAAAATGCACTAATGAATGAAGTATGCACTAATGAACAAAGCAAAGTGAAAAGAAAAAATAAAATAAAGAAATAAATAAAATAAAAACACAATGACAATAAAAGACCCAAATAAAATATGCAGCAGCTTGCTGCATCATATAACAGATTACCTATCTGCAGGAATATTTTCGCAAAAGAAGGTCGCAGTAAATACAAAAATTCTGACAATAAGTGTTGTTTAACAGCATTTATCCCGTGCAGAAAATTTGTAAAACAAAGATTTGAGAACCCCACGAGTCCATATATATGTGTACAAGTCAAAAAACAAAGTCCACACAGCTAGTAAGTGTATCAATTCGAACACTTTAAACCCAAAAACAGAGAAAGATCATGAAGCTTACATATTTCCTACAGTCAGCAAACACAAATGATGATCTGCTTGTATCAGTTGTTGTGCTAAGAAGCAGAGGTAGCACTATGAATTAAACAATTTGTGCCATGTAAAGGATTCCATAATCATTAAGATAAGTAATCAGCTGTCTTAATATATAAGGCTTTTGCTTTAATGTAAAGTGGACACTCCTTGTCCAGTGTGTTATGTTTATGTTTATCTAGGCAACTCCTCAAACAATTAGCACATTTAGGCTTTCCACTTTTCTTTGTACATGTCTTAAACAAATGATCATCACCACAATGGCTACAAACTTTCTTCGGTGATGGGCAACTTGCTGCCAAATGTCCAAAAGCAAGACATTTGTAGCACTGCCGTACAGGGAAAAAAATCATAAACATTGCACGTCTTCCACTGAACTTAAAGATATCCTTATTTTTTTAATCATTGCCCTAACCTCCGGTGACATTTTTAACACCCATGATAAAAACTCATCATTTCTCTGTTTGATTGAAAATCAAATGTTTAAAACCTTTTTAAACTCCTCTATCATGTACTTCTGTGAAAAAAAATTCTGTTCAAGCAGATATTCCAATAGGTCCTCTTTGGTGATTGAGTTGGGGACTGAAGTCACTTTCATCAGAGGAAGATGCCGTCTTGCGTTTCGTTCCTTTAATCCTTCTATTTTGTCTAATTGTTCCTGAAAGTATTCAGCCTCCTCTCTGATAGGAAAATCAACAGCAATTCCACCCTTGTTAATCTTACAAATACGCTTGGTAAATTACCTTATGCAATCTTTGATCAAAAGAATTAGTGAGCAGTGTCTTAGTCTCTTCCAATGTGCTCTCTTTATTATCATTGTAAACTAGAACAGTATACGTTGGTAATGAGGACTCCTTTTCAGACTGTGTATTCTTCAAAGAATTAAGATCGCGTTATAAAATATCTCTATATGTCAGAGCAGTAGTCCCTTGAGAACCTTTCACCCCTAAAAGTGGAGGTTTCTCTAAGTCACAAGACAGACAGACAGACACAGGACAGTGGGAATTTAGAGGTCTACAAATTTTTTCCAATTGCCTCAATGCCACAAATCGACATGAACTAACAGATTGCAATGCCGATGGGAAAAATCCAACTTTGACTTTGACTCTTGTAGACATAACAAAATTTAGAAATAAATGTAGCATTCCTTCAAAAGCAAAATTGTTGCCTTGTAAAGTAATGAAGACATAAAGAAAAGTTCTTAACCATCAGAAAAGAAAATATCGTGGTGAGATACAACCGAAAGTTTCAGTCTATCAACACTCGCGTGAGAAATAGAACGGAAGTGTCAAACTGATTAACCCATTAAATTAAGAATTTAGCAGACAGATCCTTTAAAAAGCCAGAAATTTGAGGAGAAAGATTGGTCGCTTTTCCTCGGCTCAGTCTGTTTATCCTCCATGTCAGTTTCCCCCTTGTCTCCAACTTCATTTTCATTCAGCTGTATTATAAAAATTTTTTGATATTTTTAATATTAACTTTATCCAGTTTGATGGTGAATTTATTTATCAAATTACAAACACAAGAAAATGATTGAAGCAAAATTTAAAAAAGAAAAAAATTTATAAATTAATTTAAAAAAAATAAAATTTAATTCCAAATTTTACGTAGTTCTAACATTGTTGATGCATCTTTTAATGTTTGTTCAAAATTCATCACTCATGACGATTTGCAGTTCAACTGTGTTTCTGGTTCTGGTTGTGTTTCAGAAAAGGATTTTGTAAACAGTTATGCCTAAAAAAGTCTTTTTTTATTGTTACATAATTTATTTTTTATGTGATTTTTTTTGTGGTAGTTTTTGGCGTTACTCCCGAAAGAATTTAACGGATACAGTATATTCGTCCCTCACTGCTGCCACACGATCGCCCTGGACAAATATAGCCATCCCTCACTGTTGAGTGGTTAATGCATATTGGATATGTCTCACAGAATTCACATAAATTCTTAAAACTTTAAATTATCAAAGTTTCTATAAACAAAACTTGAATAAGCTGAAAAAAAGGAATTAATATCTAAAAATTAAAATAGCTATAAAATTAGATTATACTAAACTTGCAATTAACTAAGACACATTTGACTGAGGTTTTGTTTTAATTGACATGAAATTGGGAAATTAAATAAAACAAAGAATACATTATCTATATATATATAACCCATTCAACAGGTGTCCGTCCGTTGGTAACCATTTGATAACAGACACTAGAGGCGCCCCTATCATGTGTCATATTTCAAACATTCAAATTAAATTAACAATTTTAATTATTATTTAAATTAACAATATAAATTATTATTATTCATTTGGCCAATAAATTATTATTTGGTCAATATAACAATATAAATAATTCAGTATATTTGTAATAGGAATTTATTATTGNTATAAAAATAAATTAATATTTCATGTATTTTTTTATACAACTATGCCCAATAAAAATAAAATATTATCTTGTAAAAAGCATTTCATTTCACTGGAATTAAAAGTACAGATTTTGGATCATCTGAAGAAAGGAGAAAAATATCATATCTTGCAAAATATTTAAATTTGCATAAAACAACAATCCAAACCATACAAAAAATTTGAGGTTCTGTTACTGCAGGATGTTCAATTTCTGCAAATATGACAGTGCATTCTAGAGAACTGACATACAAATATAAACAACTCAACAAAACCCAATATATATTGCCAGAGTATTTTATAAATCATTAAAGAAATTTTAAATGTAATTATAAGTTTGTATTTACTTTAAGAAATATAGTTATATATCATATTACAAGTGTTTTATATAATTTAAAGGTCATTATGTTCAATAAGTGAGTGAGTCTACTGTAAAAATAGAGTATGTTATATTTGTTGTTAATTTAAGTAAACTGGATTCAGATACATCAATTTACCAAACATTCTTAGCCAAACTTTGACTATCCAAGATAACCCAATCAATAGCACCTTGGAAAATCAAGACTACTATTCTTACAACTGTATGAAAAAAACGATAGTACCTCATTAACATCTTTTAAAGCTTCTACAAGCATTTTCTCTATATTTCTCATAATTGCCATTTTTTGATGTCCATTTAAAGGATATTTGATTTTACCAGTTGGTCCAGACTAAAAAATAAAAAAGCACATTATTATTCATTTTTTAAAAACAAATATATTTAAATTACAGTGACTCAAAAAAGTCTGTGTATAGCAGTTAATAAAGTCGTCAATTGTCTTTAAGATGCAAAAACAGCATGTTTCAGAATACTGTCTATATTTATTGTAATTGTCTACATAAGCACTATATATAAAATAAGGTATTAAAAAGTAACTAACATTATACATAATATAATGAATAATAATAAGATACAGATATTTAAAACAAAAAAGTCTGCATTCAAACATATAAAAACATCTCTAAGCCCAAAAGTTATATTAAAGCCAAATGATTACCAGATTACATTGGCCTATATTACCATTATTATTAATAATTAAATACAGGTATCGCTCGTACAACACGGTTTCACTCTAACACAGTTTAAAAAACAGGGACATCCCATAACACAAATTCCGGTTTTGCTCCAACACAGTTCAAGAAATAAGGAAATCCTTTGTATAAAATTTCACAATTTTTATTGTAGAAAACTGTTATTCTATATGTTTTATATGAGTAAGCAAATGTGCCATCTCAAATTTATGCATGGATTTTACAATATTGAAATTTTTAATTTCTTTTGTTTGCCTTTCATCAGGTTTACTTTCACGAGAACTGAGAGTGCAATGTTTTTCTTCCTTGGTAATAGGAAACCAGATGCTGTTGTTATCACTTTTAGGCTTACGCATTTAAGACTGCATTTTGTTTTTATACATTAGTCTTTGTATTTTGTGAAGTTCATTTAAACACTTTTAGGTAAGTGTTATTAAACTGTTTTTAACTGTAGAAAAGTAATCATTCATAAAAATGACAAACAAAATGCAACCTTATCTCAATATTTGAACACATATTCAAGAAGAAAAAGAACAGCAGCACCAACAACAACAAGGGTGGGAAATCGCTCAGTACTCAACTGAACATTGCAACCCATTAGAGAAATTTTCAATTAATAACTTATTTTTATTTTGTCATCTATAAAAATTTTTTAATAATTAAAACAAGCAAGTAATTTAATATAAAACAAAATCCCAGAGTTGCCTATCATAGTGAGACAAAATTATACTCTATCCAGTTTTTTTTCTTTCACTCAATGCATATGGAATGCAAACATCGTGTTTTCCAACAATTCCAAGACAAGGAAATGTTTTAACAATACTGATCTGTGAAATATTAAAATTTGTTGGAAGTTTATACTTGTTATTAGTCCATTTTTTATTACTTTTCCTGCAACTTTAGGTGCACCATACATTTTGTATCCAGTAGTTCAAAATTTAGGTGTGTCTTTCCCATATGCATTACAAATATTTTTACCATTTCTTCAGTGCATCATCTTTCCAAAACTCAAAAAGAATAACATGCTTGATATGTTTTCTCATCCAAAGACATTACAAAATAATTCAAACAAAATGTGAAGTAAAAAGTTTAAAATATGCTTCTAAATAAAGAATTTGATCTCACACTAGCAATAATGTGTTGAATTTCCCAACAGTTATAATTAAATCACACATCTAAGTGATGTCAGCTGTTAAAAATATGCAATGTGTTAAGCATGTAAACTTCTTGTTAAATTTGTGGTAAATTCTAGTTAAAATATTTTTATAAGTTTATTTTATGGGATTTGAAACAGATTAATCTAATTTACATTATTTGTTATGGGAGAATTGCTTTCGGTATTTGAATGGTCTGAAACGAACTAAGTTTGAGTACCAAATACCACTTTATTTCAATTATGTATGTGATATATATAAAAATAAATTAATATTTCATGTATTTTTTTATACAACTATGCCCAATAAAAATAAAATATTATCTTGTAAAAAGCATTTCATTTCACTGGAATTAAAAGTACAGATTTTGGATCATCTGAAGAAAGGAGAAAAATATCATATCTTGCAAAATATTTAAATTTGCATAAAACAACAATCCAAACCATACAAAAAATTTGAGGTTCTGTTACTGCAGGATGTTCAATTTCTGCAAATATGACAGTGCATTCTAGAGAACTGACATACAAATATAAACAACTCAACAAAACCCAATATATATTGATAATGCATCCACACAGTAAGCAGCAGTTGTAAGAATTCCTAATTGAGAACATGAAAGAAAGCTCTTAACATTTGGATTGTTGACTGTTTTNTTATTAATATTAATAATTATAAATAAATTAATTAATTTAAATAATTTAGAACAGCTGGGAGAAAAATTCGGCATTCTGTTAGTATGTAGCTATATTGTATATCGGGTTTAGAGATGTTTGTATATATTACACAAATCTTTAAAAATTTTCAACTATTTAAGTAGTAAATTTTTAAATGTTTTTGTTTATAACATTTTACAAGCTACAAAGTTGAGACAATGGAGAACAATCTACCAGTCTTGACTTTGTAGTTAGTAGAGGTTGGTTTGAGCATTTTAAAAAATGTTACATATTACAGAATGTAAAAATAAAAGGGAAAACTACATCAGACAATGATGAAGCTGCCAAAAAATATCCAAATAAATCACAACAAATTATTGAATGAGGTGGCATCACGAGACCAGGTTTTTAATGCATATGAGACAAGTCTTTAGTAGAAAAAAAATGCTGCTTGAGTCTTCTTGATTATACAGTATTTTTCTTAAATAAGATTGAACTGCGGCCTACTGTAGATAAACATGAACATAACACACTGGATAAGGAGTGTCCACTTTACATTAAACTTTCATAAAACTTTCTTTTTATAACATTTCCTTTCAATAAAATCTGAATACTGTTTAGTAAGATCTGGTAACCTGTATTGACAGAGGACAGTAACAGCCAAGTTCACATAAGTATTATGCCAAACAATTATCAAATTAAATCAGACTACTACTCTGTGATTATTTATAATTATTAAATTTAATAAGACATGGCATCTAATGCCTACCTTTAGTGACTATTTTTAATTTCTAAATAATTTATCACAGAGAAGTAGCCTGATTTAATATGGTAATTGTTTGGTATATCACTAATATATTGGGTTTCAAGATGTTTTTATATCAAATAATGATATTTGACAGCTCAAATATGTTCTCAATCTAATTTTTAATTGCCTTAATAATCTAATATGCATTTAAACACTTAATGCAAGGTATTGAACTAATTGTTTAAAAGGTTAAATAGCACAATACATACTATATATACAAGAAGAATTTGCTATCTAAGTAATTATAAAATATTCTAATAATTAAATGAAATAGGAAAAAATATTACATAAATATATTAAATAATTTATACCTTATACCAAAAATTTACAGATATAGTATATTTTGTACGTAATAGTGATTCCACATGATGCCACCAATACATAGGAATATATAAAACATCTCCTGGACCAATAATTGCATCTTGTCCTCTAATTTCATGGAATCTTGGAAATTTTTCAAAATCAGGATTATCAAAATCAACCTAAAAATCAAATAATTAAATGAAATCATAATTAATTTCTTGTATTTTACTTAAGATCAGACTAATATTAGTTACATTTTGATAATAATCTCTTAAAAAGATAACAGCACTTTTAGTTACACAAGATGTTCATAATTAAATAGGTGGTATTTATAGATAGCTCTGCGTAGAAAAATATATTGAATCAAATGCAATTATATTTGGTGCTATGTTGCTGCAATTTGCATATTAGGGTTTATAAAGAATTGCAGTGTCTTCAATGTGAATAAGTAACAAGTTGTGGTTTAAAATTTATCTTGTATGTGAGGGTCGTAAAAGTGCGCCAAAATTGCGACTAATTACGAAACTCCTAAGTCGGAGAGTTTCGAGGATACAATCAGGAAGAGGGTGTTAATGACAGAACCCAGATGGGATGAAAACTTTCTTACGTAGTGTAAGACAAACGCAACGCAATGACAAACAGCAGGGGGGAATGTCAACAGAGAGAGAGAGAGAGAGAGAGAGCTTTGTCGAGATGCTCGTGAACAAGTGTTGGGTCGAAACAATCAAGAAAAGGGGGAATTTAATGACAAAAGGGACATCTGTTAAACCCGAACACGTTAGGGGGTAAATGGCCACAAGAATATATGGTGGACCATTTAAGTTCAAAGGTGTCAGAGAGAAGGGCCATAACAGAGTAAAATACAAGCACAAACTTTAAAAGCCCCGTCATCACCTCTCCGACCTGGATCGGTCTCGGGTTTCACCTAGAAACTAAAGAATGACCAATTGGGGTAAGGGAGAGGGTGAATGGGACTAATCAAAAAGGTGATATTCGGGAAAAATCTTATAAAATCCCCGAATCTCAAAGATGAAAAGGCCAATTCTCCCCAAGATGCGTGCCTAGAAGACTTTGGGTCATCTGTGCACCTACCAGCCACATCCGTCCAAGCTTCTCTGCCTACTCAGAGGAAGGAGTGTGAATCCGAACACAGGACATCATCCATTCTCCGTCGAACTCTTCTTCAAGGAAGCCCGAGGTCACCCTCCAGCACCCGACATTCCTAAATTTTGTTATTCATACTATGTAAGTTAACTTCCTGTCAAAAATAAACAGTTTCATGTAAGACGTGTATCATCTTTGTCTCCTACTGCCACCACCCACATACGATTATCCCCTAGGTTTTCCTGACATGCAATTAACATATTGCCCCTAAAAGTCAGCAACCTTACATGTATACTAGTACAATATCAATTAACAGGACTTATTATACTGGATTTACAGATGCAGAAACTTAGTCTTACAGATCAGAAAACATTTTTTATTTAATTAATTAATAATTCACCTGAACACATAAAACTTAAAACTTGTGTTTTTGACTTGTTTGTCTCTCATCAGCAAGCATTCAAAAGACTGCATCCATAAATCCAGTATAATAAGTCCTGTTAATTGATATTGTACTAGTATACAAGATAAATTTCAAATCAAGATAGAAGACACAAAGGCATAATAATTAAACAAGTTGTGGTGCTTACATTACATGATTGCACATTATTCATTAAAATTTATTATCTAAGAAGCAGCAATGTTAGTGCTGCACAAAGAATTCTGATGTTTAAATTCCTGGCAAAAAGCTCTTCTGAGTGCTATTGATATAACAAAAACTGACAAAAACAACTGAAGCTGCAATCACCTCAGTGGAGCAACAAATGAAGAATCTGAGGCAACCATAGTGCATAAGATCACAATTGAACATGCCCTGCCTTACCCTACAAAACAAAATTTTGTGATAAATATTGTAATTATGAAATATATCACAGTAACAAATGACTTGTATGCTTTACCTAGAGTGCTCGGTGTTCCAGGTCAAAATGTTCATTGTCTTGATGGCCCCAAACTAAAGTAATTGAACAGTTCCATTGCTCTTTTCTGATAGTGCTGCAACCACTGCTGCATTGAAAATAAGGACAGTACACATGCAATTGCTAGAGATATTCCACAGCTTTTCTGGGGACATCCAACCAAATTTACATCAACTGGATTAGAGGCCACCAAGGTACTCCAGGCAACAAACAGGCTGACTTCTTTGCTCTTGCTGCTATAGGTTACTCTATAACTCTGCATTAAAACCTTCTTCCCAGTTCAAGATTGACACACATTCTTTGGCACAATGCTGTTGAGGCTTGGCAGCATGAGTGGGAGGTGGTCCCTATGGAACATATCACAAGGCTGTTTTTTTCCCAAACATCAAAAAGTCAACAAAAAATGGATCAAACTTAATCACAGGCTTACTCAATTCTTGCATGAACACAGACATGTATATCTACAAAGTTTGGACACTGATTGCTGCCCAATGTGTGGCAGGGTCTGGCATTTGTTTTTGATTGCTTCATGTTGGAAGCCATCACACTGTTCTGTCAGCTACAAGCTAACTTGGAGGGTTTGGAATGGCCATGATCACTAGACTTTTTTCTAACTAAACAGAACAAAGGACTGATTCACTGAGCTTTAACTTTAACTGAATGTCCCAAACATGACTGTTTGCTTTGTCGTCATCCTGTGAACAATCAAACTGAATGTTGTCCACTCTGTTACGATACAGCAAGAAACTTTATCATAAATTGTAATGATCCTGCTTTGCACTTTCACATTTCTTTCCCTTTTTTTACTTTTATTTGTGCTGTGGTTTAACTAACATGTATTCTTCAATGTTCCTTCTTTCTATTCTGTGGCTGGTGGTGCCAGGTGATTAATAAAGTTCACTTTGAGTGAGTGAGTAACAAATTACTTCCTTAGTAATAATAATCATCACTTGCACATCGGATATAACTTAAATAACACACACCTCAGAAAAACCTTTAACCGATGTGAAATAAGATTTAATAGTACAAACGTTTTCAGACCCCTCCTGGGTCCTTCTTCAGATAAAAATCGTTTGAAAAGTTAATAAATACGAAAAATATTCGTTTTGAACGATTTTTTAAAATCGAAAAGATAGAATGGAATCACGTGACCTATAGCTCTGAACGTCACAGTTTCCACGTCATAACGACAGCTATTTAAATATTTTCCATCTTTTTTAAAGTTTTTATGAATAACTTTGTCGTAAAGCATAAAATACATCACATAATCTCAGATAACCCATTTACTTCCTTTAATTTTAGGTTTACGGTTCACCTAATCCTCCTGTTGTATTAGGGCCTGCCATGCCAAAGAGAGAGAGATCTCATCTCGAATTAATAGGTGATGTAGTGCTGTATGCTCTGTATATTTCTATTTGCTCCAACCATTTGAGATGGTCTAAATATGAAGAGGTGGTAATTAATTTAGCATTTGCAAAGTCTGCAGTTATTTCTGGATCAGACGCATAAGTTGATAAGGAAGTGGTACATTTATTTTGTTGAATACCACGTATGTGTTCTTTCAATCTGATCCCAACAGCTCGTTTTGTTGAGCCTATGTAAATTAAGTCTTTGCCAAAACGATGATGAGTCCTTGCCAAAACCATGCGTGATATTCAACAAAATAAATGTACCACTTCCTTATCAACTTATGCGTCTGATCCAGAAATAACTGCAGACTTTGCAAATGCTAAATTAATTACCACCTCTTCATATTTAGACCATCTCAAATGGTTGGAGCAAATAGAAATATACAGAGCATACAGCACTACATCACCTATTAATTCGAGATGAGATCTCTCTCTCTTTGGCATGGCAGGCCCTAATACAACAGGAGGATTAGGTGAACCGTAAACCTAAAATTAAAGGAAGTAAATGGGTTATCTGAGATTATGTGATGTATTTTATGCTTTACGACAAAGTTATTCATAAAAACTTTAAAAAAGATGGAAAATATTTAAATAGCTGTCGTTATGACGTGGAAACTGTGACGTTCAGAGCTATAGGTCACGTGATTCCATTCTATCTTTTCGATTTTAAAAAATCGTTCAAAACGAATATTTTTCGTATTTATTAACTTTTCAAACGATTTTTATCTGAAGAAGGACCCAGGAGGGGTCTGAAAACGTTTGTACTATTAAATCTTATTTCACATCGGTTAAAGGTTTTTCTGAGGTGTGTGTTATTTAAATTACTTCCTGGTGATAATTCTCAGTAGAAATCATTTGCCACATCATAGATAACAAGTGACAATTTCTGGCCACAGCAAATTCAAAGCTATTTCTATGGCTCAAAGAAATATGAAAGAAACACCAGAGATAGCAAAGATAAGGAATAACCTGAGTAGAACTATATGCTGGTTGAGGAGGAACAACATTACTCTAATTGGGGCTGACAAAAGCAAATCCTTTGTAGTTATCAAAAGGAACACTTATGTACAAAGTTTGCAACAGTATATAGAATGAACACAATGTGAAGGCATGGAGCACCGAATCATTAATAAGCTGTAGGCTAGAGTTAAGTGCTTTACATGTACTAAGTTAGCTAAATGGTTAGCTATAGCTAGATCAACCAAGGACTCACTGGATATTCCGAGGTCATTCACATTTGCTGAAATCCACAAACAGGGCCAGCAACTCCATCCAATAATGGACAAGACTAGATCTCCTAACCACTTGTTGGAGAAGTACTGTACATCCACACACTGCTCAATCAGCATTTAGAGGGCTACCCTTACTCTGTTTGTAGCTCATATTAACTGGTCCAGCAATTACAAAATGTTGGCCCTCCAGGCCACCTAACAGTTTTAGACTAAGTCGCTGTACCACTCTATCAAACTTCTCCCTTGTTTCTATGCAGTTTGCTATTGGTTGTTCTGGCGTGTTAATGATGATACACTCTACCTATAGATAGTGGAACTAGAACATTTGAGTTGCTATAACCCTATCTTCAAATTCAATGGTAAGGTTTTCCTCCAAGGATGCAAGATCCTGATGCATAGCCCCATCTCAGGAGTCTTGTGCGAGATAATGATTCATCAGTTAGAAGAGAAGGTCCTACTGGTGTTCTACTCCAATATTCTTTTATATAAGAGATATGTTGATGATATCCTCCTTTTA